TTCCTATGCAGCAGTCATTTACCAGCAACGGTTTGTAAATTTCGCATTCTTTAGCAGCCACTCTTGGCATCTGTGCTTCACTGTTTTTAATACAACAATGTCGGACGAGCCACCGCTATTTATATTTGGCTTTTGAAAGGGACTGGAAGTGGTGGACAACTTGCATTACTCTGTAACAAATTGTAGTTTTGAGCTAAAGAACGTCGTGCACCCTGCAAGACTATTTGGGTGAAGCCTAGACTTCGCCTGAGTCAGACCAACATTCGATATGATTACGATCATTTTTGAGGCGACCTTCTCGTTTTGTAGTTGGTTTCTCGCAATATCTCATGCATTTAACTTACGTGACGAAGCACTCTGCTTGCGAAGGAGCTGTGAACTTATCAAAAATTACCCAATTTGACTGTTAGCCTTTGCACCCACCCTGTCTTTTCTTATCTTCCAATGAACCCTGACTCACCACACTTTATGATTTCTGCGGTGCTACTGCCATCTTACCAAATTTGGTTCTGAGGATCTCTGACCTGCAAGCTCCCTTCCCGTTTTATGATCAGCACAAAAATTTTTGATAGTAATTTCGTACTTACCACTGATTTTGTTGTAAATCTGCCCACCCTACTGGCCGTAGTAGACTTAAATGAATTTTAAGGTTTGTTTGAATGAGACTGACACAATATGCTGTCTGGCAGCTGGTAAAAAAATGAACGAGATAATGTCTAGGAATCGCAGCCTCGAACAACTTCTGTCCCACTGCTGTTCCTCTCTGTTTTGTGCTCAAGAAACCAAGTTTACTTTCATGCCTCAAAAAATCTTTCTAATGATGTGTGGTGGCGCATGTCAAAAAGCCAATGACATTCTTTTGAATCAACAGAGATAACTGAGCTCAACAACCGTCTACAGCTGAAAATGCGACACAAAGCTGTATTGTCTCCATATTTGTAGCCTAAGTGCGACACGCAAATCCATCTACGAGCAATGAATGTTGCAGTGAGGATTTGTTCGAAGAATCTCTGAGTAATGAATCCATAGGATTTGTTCTGTCTGCTGGCTTTTTCATAAACATACGCCATTGAGGGCATTAACGGTATGTGGTGTAATAGTAACATATGACTGGGCAACCGACGAAAACAAATGGTCGCATGATTGCTGCAGCGCAGAATGGTCTTTTGTCAGAAGTTATCATTTATAAAGATAAATACTGTGCTAATGTCAAGTGACTAGGAAGGTTGCCTGGATAAGAAATGTTGTTGGAATTCATTTCACAACCAGTCAAAGCTGAGCAATGCATATTAAAAAGTGCATCGTGGATATGGAAGTGTCCTATATTCATAATCCCAGAGCGTAAAAAGAAAGTATGCACCTATAACGCTGCTTAAAAAACCGGCTTAAATTAATAGGTTATAAACAGATGTACTGGAAATTTAGGCTTTCGAGACAAACAGAATGATTAAGATTGGCTGCAAATAATTCTAACCGCCTTTTTTTCCGAATCAAAAAGTCCTCCCCGGGAATGCAAATTTCATTCTGGAAGCTGTCGAAAGTTTTCAAACAACACTAAAAACAATTCGAGCATGCTCCTTTGGAAGTTCACCACACTTGACACTGATGTTGGGGGTACATGTCGGATTCCGATGGACAATTGAAGGCTTTCAAGAATTCATTTTGATTGCCGAGCACGATGTTGACCCGATACTGATCCGGACTGTGGTTGTCCGAAATCAGGGAATCAATTGCTGCTTCCGGACGAGTTATTCCGCACCAGCTCTGGAAAAATATCTGCTTTGATGAAAATTGCAGGACTTTTTGTAAACAATAGAGTTTCTTTCTAACAAATTTTTATAAATGGTATTTTTTCTGGTTTACTGTGAAGAATTTCATTGCAAGAAGGGCGCTTTAAACTGTAATTAAATTAGCTTTTTGCTTGAAAGCCCTCTGTCTGGGAAAAAAGGGTTCAAAAAGAAAAAATATAAAAGTCTAGCCACCACGCTGGTTCAATTTTTACAAAAGCAGCTTGTTCATAACTGTTGCAGTTTAATCGTCCATAGTGCTCCTAAGAACACAATAAATGAAAATTGGGCATTCTGAAGATAACGCTAATTTCATCTTGGGAACAGTTCAAAACCGATTTTCTGGCTTCAGCCGAAAATAAGTAACCGGGAATGATTTAGAAAGATAATATATTAAAAGCAAACTATTTTCAAAAACGCGTGTTCGCAGAAAACTGAAGCCGAATTAGCGGAATATCAGGAGAGGTGAGGCGAGCGGCTGATTCATTTTTGTGAGAAAGCTGGTGTATAATCCTCGTTTCGTTTCATTTTTAAATTAGCGATGCATGCGCCCAACTCACTTATAAATTTTTCACAACGCATGCGTAAATAATAATCAAGGAAAGAAATTTTCATCCTGATCTTTCAAAAAACGCTGAGTGTTATTCTTCGTTAAAAAAATTTCCGGAAGTACCGTTTCAAAAAATCCCAGCTGCTCGTAACTCTACTACTACATTTTAAAGATTGCTGCTTAAGAAGAAAATCAACTTTGATATGTTTCGCATCACTTTTTTCCCCAGTTTTTATGCGTTTCTTGCAGCTATGCAATGCGAAAGACGCATATTGACGAGAAGCTGTCTGAGTGTGTGTTTTTCATCTCGAGGCCTACAAAAGCTACAGGGCTAAAACTTTGAGGGCTTAATCTACATGCACGTACGGGCTTCAACCTCCAAAATGGACGGTCTTATCCGCGTGGTACCCGCTTGAGGGCCCGCTAAAATTTTTTACGGGTAAGTTGCTAACTCGAGGACCTGAAAAGCTAGAAAACTGTAATTTTAAGAGGATGTTTCCCGCCCACGTAAGTCTCAACGAGCTCAAACCCATACATCGAGTATGGGTGGTATCCACGTACGGGCCCGTGAAATTTTTTTCCAGTAAGTTGCTAATTCAGGAGCCAGGAAAGCTAGAAAGCTGAATTTTAAGGGGTGTTTCCTGTCAGTTCTGGCAGCCAGTCTTAATTTGTTTAGCAAGTCTTAATTTGTTTAGCAAGAAGCATTTGCCGAAAAAACCGGTACCGGTAGCGACAGAAACTGCGGAGAACTATGCAAAAAACGCATCTTCGCGCGGGCAACCCGTGCATTGGCCAATTATTTTTTAACGATGAAACTCCAGTATTTACTAATAATTTTATTATAAAATGAACAACAGGCTAAATTAAAACAATATCCTTACATATGCGTAGCTGATGAAAAATAATTGATCTTGATCGTACTCTTCCAAGCCTTTTAATCGTTTCTCCACATCGCCGCTTTCACTTAAAGCTTTTTTGAATGCCTGTAAAACACGTCATCACCAAATGAGATATAGCATTCTGATTTTTTTAACAAGCTTATTCTCAGAAAACTTCGTAATCTTCAAAAAGAAGAGCGAGCAATAAAATCAGTTCTTCGATACATATCTTAGAAAGCAGATTCTTCTCTGCTCCCATCTTCTCCACTCCTTCAAAGATGTTGTGCTTACATCGCGTGCGTGATGAGTAAAATCTAACATAGGAGATAAAAGAACTTGAACTGCTTATGCTCAGTTAGTGGTTACATCCAAGAAGCATAGAAGATTCGAAAGCAACTGATCCTGATGAACACAGTGTTGGTAATGAATGCGAATTTACTTTATTAGTTTCTACGTCGTGTTTCTTTTCTCCGGTAAAGTTCCTATCAAAAAAGGAAATTTGCAACCGTGGATCCAGAGGAATATACCGGTTTACTTCATTTTGGGAAAATGCAATTAGATTCATTTCAGACTTGCCAGATGCTAGAGTCTGCCTCCACATGGTTACTTCCGATCTCTGTTATAATCATGAAAAAATTTAAATTGTATCTTGAGCCTCTTAAACTACAATTACCTTGAATGCAGCACGCACTCCGCCGTTGTCGGCAATATTTTCTCCCTGCGTTGCTACTCCATTGATCTGTGTAGTGATTAGAACGATATATTGCTCACAATACATAATTCAAGAAAAAATTTCGTAGCTGCGTTTTTTGCTCCTTTATTATCGCTAATATTTCAGGGATTTTAAGAGTAGTGGCTAGAAAATTACTGAAAGATTAACACTATCTAACTGTAGAGGTCGGCGGAGTGCAAGACAAGTTGAAGAATTTTTGATTTTTCCGAGCTCGAATTCGAAGTCAAAAAAAAAAAAAAAAACCCCGGACTTGTTGTGGATAGGAAAAAGTACTGCGGGATGACTTTTAGTTTGCGGCCAGGAACTGTCCTCCAAATCTTTCAGTTTTTTAGCTCTCGTAAGTTTTGGGTTTAATTTTTCTAAGCAAACGCCCTCACACAAATGCGCATAAACACATACAAGCACTTGCTATAACGCCCTTTTACAAAACAAAGTATGCAAAAATGAATTGCAGTTGAAATTGTGTGAGATAAAACTCATACAGTTTGACCGCCAGTGCCGGGTACTTCGACCGCTCCATACTGATCAATGAAGCAAGCTTTGCGCTCGATGAAATTTCTTCTCGTCTCATTATCCCACCAATCGTGCAAATTTCCAAACTCGTCATACTGTCTACCTATTCAATTTTAAGCATAGAATAAAAGCTAACCCATGCTGCAACGCACCAGGCTTGCCGTTGCGATCGTGCGTTTTTGCGCTAAAATTGCAGATCGCTGACATCAAGAATGGCTCCTATGCTGTAGTTTAACATTTAGACTCATAGTGGCTGTGTTTTGGCCCCTACTCGCATGCAGGGGCTGGGATGATGTTGCATTATGGGGCCGCATGAACCTCCAGCATGCAAGATTACAAGTTTTTCGCATGAAATCCAGCCGTTTTTTCGGTGAATGCTCGTTCATTGAAAAAATGCAAATTTGAAGGACGTCCGAAGAAGATTATGAAATCTGCAAAATGCATTCGCTTTTGAGTCTGCGGTAAAATCGAGTATTTGTCATGTCTATGTGCATGGAATTTCACCTCCGTGCTGAATTAAGATTGCACGTGAGTATAGGATATCTTCGTAGAGTTTCAGCTTCGCAGTATGTCAGGAAAGCGAAATAGCTACTTCACTGCAAATATATTTGAAGTGTCTTAAGTCGTGACGCAAGTGCAGTGCGGAACTCAATTTAGGTATACGATTTCCTATACGGGTGATAAACATACTGACAAAATTTCAGCCACTTTTTTCAGGCTAGTTTTCGAATTAGCACAGTGCCAAGTGCAAAGTCTGGCGTTACCATATGCGCTGCACAAGCGTGCGCGACAGCTGAATTTGAAATTTTTAGCTCGTACATGCACAGAGAATATTCCCGCAAAGTTTCAGCTCTCTGTCTTGTCTGGTTCGCAAAATCGCTCCCCGCCAAAGAAATTTACATATTTTTTTCGAGGGTTACGCAAGACCTAGGCACGTATGAGCGATGATTTTAAAGCGAGAGGGCGACACACGAGGTGGGAATATGTCCCCAAAATTTCAGCGCCCCAGCTCTCCTGGTTGCTGGATTGAAACTGGGTGAGAAAATTCACTCGCTTTTAAACACACACACGGACAAACTCCCGACAATATGCGTTTTTCCTCGCTGTAGCAGCGCTTATGACGCTGCATAGCAAAATGCATAAAAATTTCAGTGTAAATAAATGCTACATTTGCACCGGATTATTCAGTGTTTTTGAAACAAAAAGCGTCGAAAGAAGTAGCTCTTCGAGAATATTTAAAAGCAGTTTTTTGTCACCGAACAGAATAATTGCATTCGATTTCCAAGTTGCCTAGATTTGTGAATTTTCGTCGCTACTTAGAGGAATAAGAAAGAGTAAAATTGTAAGGCAGAGCTTATTTTTTTCCGAACGCAACAGACAAGAGTTAAAGAAAGGAAAACCAGCAGCCGATAAAAAAATGCCGCAACGGTTCTCAAGAAAATCAAAGCCGAAGAAGAGCATTTGTGAGATATTGTTCTATCGTCTCAAATGAAGATTTCCATGGTGCATTTTTATGCGTCTATGCATCATTTTAAGGCGCATAAATGCTTGCTGTAGAGAACTTGTGGTTGCGCATACAATTTTGCGAACCACTTTCAGTTTAATAACTAGAAAAGCCAAGAAGCTAAAATTTTACAAGGATGGTTCTGGACCAAATGCAAAACCAACTTTTACGAACACCTACGCCTCACATGCGGACCATTGAAAGTCAAAATCAAAAATGCGTTGTAGGAGAGCGATTTGGAAAACTAGAGAAGATAGAAAACTAAAAATAATGAAAAAATGTTTTCTGGCTATTTACGATGTAAAAATTTTAAATACAGTTTTTGTATACGATTGCATGCCGCATATACGTAAGTGAAATTTCAAACTGAGGCGTTATTAGTAAATTTTTTTTTTGATTCGAAAGCAAGACTAAATAGAACGGTGTTGCCTCTACGTGAATGTTCTTTAGAAGTATAAAATCAACTTTCACGTAAGTCCACGACTTGTGGACAGACGCAACTAATTTCAGGTTGCAAAACTGTTGTTATCTTTCTGACTTAAAAACAAGACTAAGTGGGAAGCTATACTTTTGTGTGGATGTTTGTTGCCAACATGTGAGCCCGTAAGTATGAAGTCGGCTTTCGCATGTGCGCCTAGGCATGGGCACCATGCCTAGCACGCCAAGTCAAACTTTCATTTGAGAATTACCAAAATCGTTCTCTCTCGATAATCAGACACTCTAAAAAGTTAAAATTCCACTCCACCAACTCAACCAATGACCCTCTTCCCCAAGAGTGGAGAAATCCAACAAGAACATTTCCAACACAAGTGCACTTTATCATACAGTGAAGCAGTGAATATTCTTACTGTTACCAAGCGAGAACTTAAGATGGCGCAGTAATCCTGGTTCAGAGAGTTAATTATTTTTACTTCTACAAAAATAGGCACAAGTTCAATATCTTCGTGTATTTTGTGGAACACTGTAATCCAATTCTGAGGGATGTCATAATTCACAGGTATGAGCATGAGTGGCAGTGCGAATAAATGCTTTAAAAAATTGCCAACCTCCTTCATCAAAGCCATGTGTAATTTCGTGCCCAATGACAACACCAATGCTACCATAATTCACCGAACTGAATATTACTATATAAGTTTACAGTATGCACTTTGCGCCATTATAAAAGTGTGGAAATCAATGAGAATAAACAGCAGAGCGCATCATGCGCTTAGCACGACTATGCATTTTCTGCTTATTTTCATCCGCTGAAAGTTTCGTCCTACATGAACTTTGGAAGCATTCAATTTATTTAAATTTTCAGAAAATAGAGTTTTTTAACAGCGAATTTAAAACGGAATTTGAAAGGTTTGGAACGAAAACAGTACTAAGACGCTGTTACGCCCTTCTTAGTTTTTGTTTTTCCGGTCCACTAAGAACGTCAGTAGCATCCAGTCATTCTTTTGCTGCTGGGCTACTTTTGTATCTCCTCTTACTTCATGCAATTGATGGAACAGCTACTTTGACAGAAAGTAAACTAACAGTGGCATTTTGTTGTTGAAGAACGTTCCTTGGAGGATTCCAACCAGCAGTGCTAAAACAGAATCTGTATTCAAAAAGCTCCATTATTTAACAGTCTAATTTAAATATTATTCATCTATAGAACACTCGTGAAAATGTTTTGGAAAGGTATGCCAGCAAGATAACTTTCTAATTAATGGTCTGGTAGTAAAACTAATTAAGGACGAATCAGATTAGCTAGTGCAATTATACGTTTTTGCAAGTTTCCATTCTGTAGAGAAATCGCCTATACTACCAGGCTGTGACTGCAGTGTTGCGGTTTGAACACTTGGTGTGTCTGTATGCAGGGTCCATGCCTAGGCTGAACTCATCTTACGCTTGGTGGTCCGCACATAGACCGTAAACAGTCTCAGAAAAATACTGTTTCCTGGTTTTGGGCGAGTTATTTGGACGCCAACTGTATCCCAGGCTAAAAATTCACTTGCGCGTAGGCGAGATCTAGGCCTGTTTTAAAATTGAGTCTGAAATACTTAGGTTGCACGCGGACGTATCCTATCTTCGTAAAATTCCAGCTGTCTCGTTTGACTGGCTGGTCAATTGCTTTTTGTTACAAATATCTTTGGAGTGTGCGAACACATGACAAAGACCTACGCCAAAGCTCATTTCGTGCCTACTTGCCCGGGCATGGAAAATAAAGATTCTCATAATGTTAGGCACCATAATCAGCTAGGTTGCGGGTTGGCGTTTTGCCAACAACTTCGCAGTCTCAACTTTGACTTGCTCATACACGTAATACATACACACGTCGAAACTGCATTTGAAATCTTTAACTCGTATAAGGGCATGGAATACCTCTATGCAACTATAGTTCTCTTCTAGTTTCCGAAGTCGTTTTCCCGCCAGGAAATTAGCATGTTTTCTTTTAGGCATCTGTACGTAGGACCAAGCGCACACGAATGATATTAAAGCAAGAGGATCACACATGGGGCGAGCACATGCTTGACAATTTTCAGCTTCCTAGCTTCTCCAGTTTCCAAGTTGAAAATGGGAAACATATACACACAGATAACCTCCTGCCGATATGCGTTTTGTGTATTAAATATTGAAAAGCGCATGAAAATTTACATTCAACAGCATCATACGCTCCGCTGGACTCTTTATTTGATGACTTACAAACGCATGCTGGACGTAGCTGTATTAGGACGTTTTTTTCTGAACGATTTGTTTTCAGCCAGTATTCCATCCCTAACTCCTCCGCCCTTACTCTCGGTCTGCAAAATGTACCAACTTTTGACGGCGGTCATTTTATTCGTGGATAACAGTCACTAAAACATGACGCTCACCGCTTGTCAGCAATTTGGTATACTTCTCCGCACCTATGATTGTAGCGGATTACTTGGTTATGAAAAAAAAAACTTCACTCATTCTTCGTCCCATTGTTTTCTCCAACTGAACCACGGTTCACTCTTATGCTTCGTTAGTGACTATGCAAGTTATTACTTTCAGCGGCTGTGCTGAACAATTTTGGGTGCTTCTTCCGATTTAAAACTTTGAACTCCATAGCACTTTAAAAACTTTGCCAACTGCTAGCTCCTTATTATGCATTCATCTGCTAGATATTTGGCGCATATTCATTTCCTGGCTTAGAATGACAAAACTCTCAACTTCCAGTTAGATGTATTCCATCAATTCAATTTGTCCGTGGGCACACCTGTGCTTTTCATCACCTTCCTTTTCACTTCGCTGATTTTCAAGCCCACTTCCTTGCAGTAGTGAGCACTGCACTCAGTTCGCACTAACAGCACTGATGTTTTTTACAAACTTACCGATTTGATTATGCATCGGGTCATAATAGGCATTGACTTGTGGCGCTGGGAACTGGAATTGTTTTCGTTCATTTGTTTCTAACAGCTTGTTGAATAGCCTTTGCAGCCTGTACTTTATAACTGCTCGATAAATGCCCAGGAAATCGGACGAAGAATTGTAATCGAACTGAAATAAGGCTAGGCCTTATTAGGTCAGCAAAACCATTTGAGTTTCTGCTGTGAAGCTCTTTATCACCGAAGTATACTCTTGTTCCAAAGCATTTTTTCCAGATTATTGTATTCTTGTCGTTCTGGCAAAGATGTTCTGATTTGTAACACTCAATGCATAAGTTCACTTCACCCAGTTCCCATTTGATGAGAAATGGTTGGTACCCACCTGAGCGTATTTCACTTCCAAGGCGGTATTGTTTAACAGGTAATCATCGTAACCAATAAACGGCACGATCGCATCTACCTGAAAATAATCTTCTTGGCGTAATTTTTTCCAGAGCTAATCAGGTTTGTTTCTTCCAAATACCACAGACTAATTATCGAAGTTTGTTGGGTTCATGTCGAAGTGCTTGTCATTGCAAATTTGTAGACATGTGTACGTTTGTAAGCATAATCCAATTCCTGAATTATAACCCAGGCTAGAACGCACCAGGCTTGCCGGTGCGATCATGCGTTTTTGCACTAAACTCGCAGGCCGTTAATAGTAGGAATGATACCTACGCCGTAGACTAACACTTGGGTTCATATTGGCCGTGCTTTGGCCCTTTCTGGTATGTAGGAGGAAGGGAGTCGGTTGGGGATGAAGGTAGCGCATTATAGAGCGGCACGCATCTCCAGGTACATGATTACGAGTTTTTTGCATGAAGCTTGGTCGTTTTTTTCGGTAAATGCCCGCTTTTTGAAAAATGAAAAATGTAAATTTTTTGAAAAAAAATGAAAATTTCCAGTTTACTAAAATATGGAAATATTGCTACAGCAGTCATTCGTCAAAAAAACCAAGTATGCAAATGAAATGAATGTTCATTTGCATATTTGGATGAGGGCGGTCGTCTGCTGCAAAACGCACTCGTTTTTGATTTTTCGGCAAAGTTGAGTATTTCTCTCGCCTACCCGGAAGGAACTTCACCTCCAAGCAGAATTAAGACCGCGCTTGAAAGTAGGATATCCCAATGAATTTTCAGCCCTGTAGCTTATCCAATAAGCAAAATATCAACTTCGCTACAAATATCTTTGAAGTGCCCTAAGTCGTGGCACGAGTGCAAGTCGGTGCTCATTTTAGGCATACGATTTCACATATGGGCGATAAACATGGTGACGAAATTTCAGCCACTGTTTTCCAGCAAGTTTTCAAGTTAGCATGGTACCAAGTTGCAAACTTTGGTGTGATCGCACGCGTTGCACAAGCGTGCGCGACAGCCGAATTTGAAATCTTTAGCTCGAGCATGCACAGTGAATATCCCTGCAAAGTTTCAGCTTTGTATCCTGCCCGGTTCGCGAAATCGTTTTCCGCCAAAGAAATTTGCATATTTCTTTCGGTACACGGGGTCTAGGCGCGTATGAGGGGAAATCTTAAAACGGGAGGATGACACACGGAGTAGGAACATACACCCAAAATTTCAGCCTCCCAGCTTTTCTGGCTGCTGAGATAAAAGTGGGTGATAAAACACACACACACAGTCTCTCGACAAAATGCTTTTTTGCTGGCTGTAGCAGCGCTATAGCGCTGTGCGTTGCGCAGCAAAAACGTATAAAAATTGGGAAATAGAATTTTTAGGTGCATTACCTTCAGCTGTGTACGGATTAAAAAAACTGTGGTCGGTGGTACAGAGTTGTAACGCGCAACTATAATAGTTCACGCCAGGGAATTATGATCAGCCTACTTCAAACTAATTCTTAGAAGCTTACCTCAAAGTGACTTTTAAGTAACTGCTCGCATTTTATGCAAAACCTACTTTTCGCAGTGCTTGAAGTTTCACATAAGAATCCATCCATGTTGATTCTTCGATAAGTACAGCAAACGATTCTTTGATGTTATCAATCATTTGCTTTAAAACAGCCCTATTTTCATCGTGAAAGTATTCTCCAATATAAAGTCTGTTGATAACTTCCGGAAACAGAGACGACACTTCATTTTGGCAACGCAACCACATTGGTCGTAATTCCGATTGTCCCATAAGAGCGTTCTCAAGTTCCTGAATTTCTGCTACAACATCACATGTATACTTGAAAACTGGGCTTTAACGAACAACAAATTCTCTTCTCTTGAATACGTCTCTTTGTTTAGCTTCAGGAACATAACGATTAAGAGAAAAAAGTACTTTTGTTACATTTCGAAATCTTTCGTCCAGAAAAGGTACTGTCGCGAGAATAATTTGCCATTCCATATAATCAAGTAGCGTTGCATTGTGAAAATTTCTCACTGCTTCATCAATAGCTTTGATCGCCAAAGGATCAATAACATTGATTTGAAGCTTGCTTAGATCGAGCTTTTCAGCCACATTCTGTGGTAAAAGACCACTGAGGTAACGGTGCCAGCTGATCTAAACATGGCTATGTTGGACCATTATCACTAGTTCGATAAAAACCACTGGTAAATTTTTACTGGGGAAATATGAGATTTATATGTCATGATTTATATGCACTATAGCGAGATCATGTACGTACGTCTGCTTACGCGCGTTTCCAGAAAAACTGAAACAAACAGAAGACCAAGCCAGCTTTTAAAGAACACTCTACCTCAGCCTACGACTTCAGGTCCAATCTGTTGTTAGTCATTGCAGTGTCAAGTCTGTGGGAGCAAGAAATTCCAAATTTTGAGCTCACTGTTCACCGCATAACTAGAAGCGAGTGATTGAGACCAATCTAAATTCGTTGTTTTCAAACTTACCACAATTTTTCAAAGATTGCAGACTGATTATAATGCCCTAAAAAAATAGCTTCTCTGCTGCTTGTTGTTCTAACGCCTGATGCGATTGGGTATGCTTTACAGCTTTAGTCGTTTGAAACGTAAAACTTTTTTATACAGTGCTCTAAGTTTAAATTTTATTTTGCATAGCAACAAGTGTACAACCAAAATCAGTTGTTTGGAGGCGCCCGAGATCCACATACGCTATATGTGAAAGTTTTGGCGCGAAAATTACTAACCTGGGAACGGGAAAAGCTAGAAGGCTGAAACTTTAGGAGAATGTTCATCACTCATGTACGACTAAAATCAGGTGTTTAAAAGCACCCGGGGCCCACGTACGGGCACGTGAAAATTTTGGCGTGAAAATTACCAACCTGGAAACGAAAAAAGCTAGAAAGCTGAAACTTTAAGGTGATGTTCTCTACTCATGTGCGCCCAAAAGATTTCAAATTTAACTCCTCTAGTGCGGCCTTTTTTGCGGATCAGCAACTTCCCATTTCTCGATTACTGAAGTCATCTGCAACTGGCATACCACGCAATTGTAAAATTAACTCCCCGAACTTCGAGGGCCAGTATGTCACGGGGGTAGCTACTGTGATTCCTTGCGACCTTGCTATAGCACAAAAAGTGCAAAAACGCATAATCTCACCGGCCAGCCTGGTGCGCTCCAGCCTGGGTTTTTATGTGTTTTTGCTCTGCAGCGCTATAGCGCTGCTACAGTGAGCAAAAACGCATGTTGTCAAGAGGTCGTCTGTGTGTGTATGTGTGTTCGGAAGCGAGTGAACTCTGTCATCCGCTTTCAACTCAGCAACCAGGGAAGCTGGAAGGCTGAACTTTTGGGGAGATATTCCCACCTCGTATGTCATCCCACCGTTTTAAGATCTTTCCCCACACACGCCTAGATCTCGCGTACGGACCCCCTGAAAAAATTTGCAGATTTCCTTGGCGGGAAACGATTTTGGGAACTAGGCAAGATGGAAAGTTGAAGCTTTGCAGGAATATTCTGCGTGTTTGTATGAGTTAAAGATTTCAAATTCAGCTATAGCGCACACTTGTGCAGCGCGTACGGTCACGTCAAATTTTGTACTTGGCACTGTTTTAACTCGAAAACTGGCCGGAAAAAAAGTGGCTAAAATCTTACCAGAATATTTACCGTCCATATGGGAAATCGTTTACCTAAATTGAGTTCCGAACTGCACTTTCGCCACGACTTAGGCACTTCAAAGATATTTGTAGCGAAGTGGCTATTTCAATTTCTGGATAAGTTGCGAGGCTGAAACTTCGGTGGGATATTCTACTTTCAAGTTCGGCGTTAATTCTGCCTGGATGTGAATCCCCTGCAGATGGGTATGAGAAATACTCAACTTTACCACAGACTCAGAACCGAGTGCATTTTGCAGCCAACGACCGCTCTAGCAACATTTCCACTTCTCAGTGAAGAACTGAAGTTTCTGCTTCTTCAAAATTTTCAAAAATTTGCGTCTTGCATTTTTTCAAAAAACGAGCATTTTCCGGAAAAACGACCGGGCCTCATGCAAAAAACTGAGAATCGTGCACCTGGAGTTTCATGCGGCCCCATAATACAACACCCTTATCCTAACTGACGCCCTTTCTCCTGCATGCCAGGAGAGGCCAAAGTATGGCAAATATGAGCCTAAGTTTTAGGCTACAGTGCAGGCGTCATTTCCTGCTATTAGCGATCTGCGAGTTTAGTGCAAAAACGCATGACTGCACCAGCAAGTCTGGTGCGTACCAGCCTAGGTTCTTTATGTAAAACTTGCGGCGATTAACGCTAGAGAACGTCACCAGGTAAATGTGAAGCACAACCATTCATGCAGTTAAGATCTGATTGCTTCAAGTTTATCGCAAAAGCGCATGATCTCATCGGCAAGCCTAGGGCATTGCAGCCTAGAGTTATTGTTGCTACTGGAATGCATCCGTACACAGGTCAAAGCCTATACCCTCCTGCTGCAAGCTGCATTCCTTTGCTGTGTGATGGATGCCAATGTAATTTACGCACTTCGCCTCTTCAGTTTTTGCCTAAATAGTCATTTCCTTTCTCGCAGGTACCATTCTTTAATACGTAATGCCCAGGTGACTGCAAGCAGAGCAAGCAACACTCTTTCGCATCCATCACATTTCACTTTTGACTACCAGAGTAACTGAATTATCGTCTTTTACCTGCTGACCAGTAGTCCGCATCACTTTTATTTCAGAAGCTTTAATTTTTGGACTCGTTTCCTCTTTGCACTGTATTCCTACAGCACTCTGTTCAGTTTACAAACATTTTTCACAGTGCAAGCTAAGCCATCTGAGAAGCTAATGGTTTTAGCTGTTCACCACCGATGTTCAAGCACGTTCAGCCGTGTTTTGAGAAAAACTGTCTCGAAACGTATCACCGCAATAGCAATTCACAAGACAGGAAGACGCCGGAACACAATATATAATTAGTAAAATATTAAGAACCTAATAATTTTTTAGGGTAAGTCTCAGCGCTTCCTGAAAAAGATCGAGGGGTGCTTTATTTTTTTTTTTTACAGCAGTGCATGAAGCCTCTCACAGATCAGTTCCAGAGATGAAATACTAGCTTAAAAACGCAACCGATGGTGCCAGATTTTGAATTTCCTCGATGGTTCGTAAGTTGTACCGTGCTGAGTGATCATCGCGGTTCGCTGCTGAAGCATTCAGAATCTGAAAAACACTTTTAACCAAACTACACTTGACGCAGAGCTGATGTGGTGATATGTTTTGATGCTGTTTCTCTTTCTCTAGCTGCTTTCTGAAGATCCTGGGAGAAAATAAAAATTTCCTCTGCGAAGCGCTTTAGTGATAAAGTGTTGGCGTCTTGCCGAAGCACGTTTGGAATGTGAAAGGCGTTTAGTTTTCCTTTCAAATAATTCTTAGCAGGGGGAAATGTCGACAACTTTACCAGCGGTTGGTTGCTAGCCAGAATATTCATTGTGAAAACAAATTGTCTTTCACAATCGGAAAAAAATTGATTTTGAGATTTATATAAGCTTATTGTGTTTGAACTGGAATTTATAAATAACCAGCGCACCGACTGCCGGTGCGAAGGTGCCTTTTTTGCATAATTCCTCGCAGGTTTTTGCCTCTAACTGCACCGGTTTTTCTGACAAATGCTTCTAGCTAAGATAGTTGGGACTAGCCATCACAGCTGTCTGGAAACATTACTTTTAAATTTCAGCTTTCTAGCTTTCCTGTTTCCGAGTTAGCAACTTACCCGAAAAAATCTTTGGCGGTCCCGTACATAGGTACTACGTACACCCGAGGGCTGGGCTTGAACTCATTAATATCTACTTGGACGGGAAATATCTCCTTAAAATTCCAGTCTTCTGGCTTTTCAGGTTCTCGAGTTAACAACTTACCCGAAAAAACTTTGGCGGGCCCATACGTGGGTGCCACGCGAGGAAGAGTGACCATTTTGGAGGCGGTAGCCAGCACACGCATGCAGATTAAGTCCCCAAAGTTTCATCCCTGTAGCTTTTGTAGATCTCGAGATGAAAAATCGGTACAGACGAACACACAGACACATACACAGACAGCCCCTTGTCAATATGCGTTTTCTGCACTGCACAGATGAAAAAAAAGCATAAAGGTGGAAAAGTCCGCAGTTCCTACTCAGAAGCGTCTAAACTATTGTACTGGGTCACCTTTCCTAACTGACACCATAGGCACACGTTTTTCAAGCCAAATTATAAAAACCCCTCCAGATCCGCTCTTAATGATAAGCGGAGGTAGCCGAGAAGTGGCCCGAGTGTTAGCAAATGTCAACAGCAACCACCCACTGACAAGGCTGTCGATGGATCCCTCTTCTAAGGGTTGCTTACAAGCAAGTTGATGGCGGACTTGACTCTCTGGCATATGCTAGTACCAATTTACCACTGAAACAAGTTGTAGAGAAACTGGATACTCAGCGGGAGTGTCGAACTTTCGACCTACTGCATGACAACAATGCTACCCACTGCGCCATGCTTGCTGGCGCTACAGACACATATAGAATAATTATGTTGTTTGAAAGTGAGAGTGGAATGAAATGGATCGCCTAATAGGTAAAAAAAAAGCTGGACACAATTCACAGCAGTAGAAACTAGCAACAAACTTCTGCATTAATGAGCTGAATAATGGTCAACAGTACCTGAGTCAGCCACAATTTTGTCTAAACAAAACATCGAAAAAAACTTCACTTTAGCAATAGTAGTTTCAATTTCCATAAATGAATTCACTCTCCTCTCCACTTCGTCGCTGCTGTTTTTGAAGAACTGGCCCTGGATATCGTCTTCTACTAATATTTCAATGATACTCGCCAGATATTTCCTACAAAAACTCATTATTTGACTAGAATGCGAACTACTCGTTAGCAAAAAATTAAATACGGATGAAGAACAAGAAATTAAATATGGCAAGGCCTTGAAATTATTAGTGCGCGAATGGTCTCCAAGCATTCTTGTGTTGTTACAATTTTTGTACGCTTACTGAAAAAACTCAGTTGGCAAAGCTCACCAGAATCGACGGTACTATCAGATTTCTGCACAAATCTTGAAACAGGACGAATTGCTGTTTGACTATTCAATTTTGTATTACCGGAAAAGCTAGGAAGCTGAAACTTTAGAAGCATATTCCCATGCCATGCGCGACCTCACTTTTTAAAATCAGCGTTCAGTTGTGCCTACGACGTAGTATAACACTATATTTCAGCTGTTAGCCTATTCCCCCC